AATGACAGAGATGCTCTGGAAAACAGTTTGGCAGTTTCTTTAAAAACTAAACATGCAACTACTATACAACACAGTAATTGCACTCCAGGCATTTATCACAAAGGAATGAAGACTTATATTCACGCAAAAACTTCACATGAGTGTTTATAGCAGCACATGAATGTTTATATCACATGAATGTTAATGCATAGCAACAAAAACTGGAAACAAACTACATGTCCTTCATCAATCATATCATCAGACATGTTACTGTACAGGAATGATTAAATAAATTATGGTACATCCACATTGTGGAATACTGCTCAGCAATAAAAAAGGAATAAACTAGTGATACACACAACAATCTGGATGAATCTTCAGAGAATCATGATGAGTATAAAAAGATAATCTCAGGGCCCCTGGGTGGCTCAGTCAGTTAAGCATCTGCCTTCGGCTCAGGTCATGATCCCAGAGTCCTGGGATCGAGCCGCACATCAGGCTCCCTGCTCAGCAGGGAGCCTGCTTCTCCCTCTCTCTCTGCTCCCCTACTCCTGCTCTCTCACTCGCTCTCTATCTCCAATAAATAAAATCTTTAAAAAAAATAAAAAGATAATCTCAGAAGTTCACATACTGTGCTATTCCATTTAAATAATATTCCTGACATGACAAAATTATAGAAATGGAGAACAGATTAGTGCTTTCCAGGGGTTGAGGAGGAGGTGGGAGTGGGAGAAAAGTGGGTACTGCTACAAATATAATTTATTAATTTAATAATTATGATAATTAATATAAATTAATATAAATATATAAAAATATAAAGAGGGACCCCGTGGTGATGGAAATGCTCTATCAGTGTCAATACCCTGGTTGTGATGTTGTATTGTAGTTTTGCAAAATGTTACCACTGGGGGAAAATGGGTAAAGGATCACTGGATCTCTCTGCATTATTTCCTACAACTGCATGAGAATCTATAATTATCTCAAAATAAAATGTTTACTATATATAAAAAATTTAATTTACATATATAAAAGGACATCTTTCAGTTAACGTAAAAGCGGACTTGTGAAGTTTTGGCTTGGACCCCAAAAGAGTAAATTCAACATTACAAAGTGAAGATTATAACCACCCTGAGGACTTGTACAAAAAAGTTGAGGGTAATTGGCTGTAAGGCTCTGAATGACTTTACCCACTTTAATAGTCTCAAATGATTGAGAAGTAGAGACTGGAGGAGAAAGTTTTCAGGAATCATTGTTGTTATATTGTGAGAGCAGCCTTCCCCTCAAGGAAGAAAAGTAGACAGTAGTCCCTCTTCACCCTAAAAAAGAGGAGACTTTAAGAAGACCACTGGGAGAACTTAAGGTCTGGGGGACATGGAAGTGTTTCTTTCCATTGAAATCCCAAACATTAGAGAATGGCTGGCTAATTGCTTAGGGGGCAAAGACAAGAAGGGGTAATGTGGTTGTGTAACAGGATTTCTGCTTTTCCTGAATTCCGGCAGTAAAATACTGCTCCCAGAGTCTGTTGGGGGCAAACAACATGGTTTTCCCATGAACCAAATGTGGACCACTCACTTAAGAAAGCCAGCACGGGGTCTTTTTAGGTTACGCCCAAAAGCATGACCAGGACGGGTGAACAATCCTCTGCAGAAAGAAGCTAAGTAAGTAAATAAAGCTAAGGACCAGCAGGACGAGAGGCATCTTGTATTGGAACCCACATGGAGAGTGGAGTGGGTCTAAGAACCCATGAAAATGCTCATGAGAAAGAGTCCATTTTAAACATCTACCAAGTCCAGAAAGTGCCAAAGCTAGATCATGAAGACAGTACTAGTTTAGTCGTAAATTTTCTTATAAGCCACTTCCATTAAATCCCCTCTGTCCCCACACTCCAACCTTGGGACAGACTGTAGGCCTAACCAAGATGGAGCTGGAGCATCCTTGTGGAGAAAGAGAGAAGCATCAGACTGTACTCTCCTTTCTCTACCACCTGGACTGGTAGCTTTAGGCCTGCAACTCGCCTGGAGATGGGCAAGGAGACAAGCCTTAAACTCGAAAGCTAGATTTAAATTTTGACCTTATATTGTGATGGTTAAACTGAGACTGAAGTTTAAACACATAACTCTTGCTGATATCTAAGAATGACCAGAAAAAACATGAAGACTGCTTAAATTTTCGTCCAGGGATCGGGGAAGAAGCAGCCTCACAGAAAGGGTAATGGAAAAAATAATTAATTTGTTTGATGAATGTACACTACAAGTCCTGTTTATTCAGTATTCTAAATATAAGGTAATCTTCCTATATATTTTAAGCAAATTTTTCCAAATTATACTATTGCATATTTACATATGTGCATATATGTATATACACATGTGCGCAGAATTATGTAATTTTCCCTCCTACTATGAATATCTGTTTTCAGCAAAAAACAATCTAGACTTAGCTATAGATATGGCACAGTCGCTTCTTCATAATATGATTTCCAGTTTTTCTGAATTATTTTACTTACTGAGCAGGAATATAGTACTACAAATGTGAAGCTGCACATTTTGTCTTAAGAGAAATGTTTTACCATATGCAAGACTGAGCCTTTAGAATAGCAAAACTATTACAGTTGGAAATTTAAGTTAGAATTTAGCTCCTATCCAGGATGAGAAAGTCCAATTTTTTTCCCCTGAGTAAAGATTTTCAAATTTGTGTGGCCAATGGCCAAAGCTGTTTTTCTCTGCTAAATTTCATTAGGATCAACATACTTCGATTTATTGTACATATGACCCATAAATGGATGGGAGAAAAGAAACAGTAGAGCTAATTCAAATCAGAGAGAATCTGAATAACCAATGACTGGCCAGGAACTACTAATTCTGCACATTCCTAAGTCATCCGACACAAATGCCCAGAGGAGAATGCTGGGAATGGAGAATAAACGGCGACCCCAGTGATTTCTTTTGGATGCACTCATTTATAATATGAAACAGATTTAGCATGTTAGCCATAATTTGCTTTTAATATCTTTATTAGGATTGCCTTCTCATATTCATTTGAAACTTAATTCTTTGAAATTCAGAAATTTAGGGGCGCCTGGGTGGCTCAGTTGGTTAAGCGTCTGCCTTCGGCTCAGGTCATGATCTCAGGGTCCTGGGATCGAGCCCTGTATCAGGCTCCAAGCTTGGTGGGGAGCCTGCTTCTCCCTCTCTCTCTGCTCCTCCCTCCTGCTTGTGTGCTCTCTCTCTCTCTCTCTCAAAAAAAAAAAAAAATGGAATTCAGAAATTTAATTCCAAATATTGTAAAATTACAATATTTGCATTGGCAACAAAAATATGTCACATGCTTTAAAGAATGTATACAACTAAATCTATCTTTATGGTAGTTTGGCGTAAAGTTACAAAAATAATTTTTAGTATTTTTTTATTCAAATTTCTACAATAGTGCCTTTCTTTATAGTAATAACTTTTTAAAAATTGTAGAACGTTCAGTAGTACTTTGTAAATTTGGAGAACAGATCTTCTATCTTTTATTTTTTTGGTTATAAAATGATATATTTAAAATCCCAAATAGATCATTAAAAAATAATCAGGACTTGATGATATTATACCATCAGCTTCTCTTTAAATGTGGGTTTTAGGGGCGCCTGGGTGGCTCAGTCGTTAAGCGTCTGCCTTCAGCTCAGGTCATGATCTCAGGGCCCTGGGATCGAGCCCCACATCGGGCTCCCTGCTCTGCGGGGAGCCTGCTTCTCCCTCCCCCACTCCCCCTGCTTCTGTTCCCTCTCTTGCTGTGTCTCTCTCTGTCAAATAAATAAATAAAATCTTAAAAAAAAAAAATAAATGTGGGTTTTATTTTTGATTCATCACAGAATGCACTTTCTTTTTCTGTTTTTACCGTTTCAAATTTTGGAGGGAGAGAATATTCAACTTCAAAGTAAGAATTAAGTTGTAAAAACAAATTAAAAAACAGCATAAAGCATTGAAGCCATTAGTTTGAATAAGCTACATCCCAAAATTTCATATTCTTTTAAAAACCACAGAATAAGCTCCATGAAGTGTTTTCTTCAGAAACAATTTCATCTATGTAAGTAATTTTATGGTAATCTTCTTAGAGAAAATCCTACATGCTCTTATATATATTTCACTCAGACAAGTTTTTAACTCAGCATTTTCTGTAATACATACAGACACAGTGACTTGTTAAAGAAAATGAATTATAAAAGAGATAAATTAGGAATAAATTACTTTCATTTCAAAGGGATGTTTTACTTAGCAAGTCCTTTATCTCACAGATCTTTAAAATAGTTGTAATTTTAGTGTTTTTAAATAGGAATTGATTTACAGGAACTATTTCAGAAATTATACAGACATAATAAAAACTTTTATAGAAAGTAGTACAATACATGCATTTCCTCCTAAGTATTTTTAAAGCCTCTTTCTTTTCTCTCTTCTTGATAGCTTAAATGCTTTAAAATGTAACAAGCATTAAAAAAAAAACTACTGCAATGCTATGGAGAGTGAATTAAAAAGAGTTTCTGGGGTAGCCAAGTGGCTCAGTCAGTTAAGCATCTGACTCTTGATCTCAGCCCAGGTCTTGATCTCAGGGTCATGAGTTTAAGTCCCACATTGGGCTCAGGGCCTACTTAAAAAAAATAATAATAATAATTTCTGGAATTAGTCCACTTGTTGAAAGTTCATTTCCCTTCATTTGAACTTTGTTGTATTTACTTCTGACACAGTTATTTTGGTCACAGTGATAAAGTATAACTGGTTATCAATGGTCTATATAAAATGCTGTCAAAACCTTGAGTCTTTCCTTTTTCTTGTCTTCTCTTTTCCATTAATCAATTCAGGAAAAAGAAATCTTTCCCACATTTTATCTTTTGGTTTGCCCTTTACTTGCCTATTTTTGTCTTTTAGTATATAACGGATACAATTTGTGACTGCCTTCCTTTCCTCTTCTTCTACTACTTTAGCTTATGCTCTACAACTCCATGTTGTTATTTTTCTAAGTTTCCTCTAGATGTCACGGGAAATTACCTTGATGCAATGGTAGCCTCCAAGTACACCACAAGCCAAGCTATTGCAGCGGTCATGGAATAGAAGGCTCACAGACCAGAGATTCTCAAATCACACATCCCTTTAAAGCAAAAAGAAAGAGATGGGGTAAGTTACCACACTTAGGATATGGGACAAATGGGAAGGACCACACTCTATGAATCCCAAGTTATGCAATGTTCATATGTGTGCACTCCCTTTCTCACTGTGTGTGTGTCTGCTGCATTAGTCTTCCTCACTGATGACCTGGGGACAGACTGACATTTAGGCAGGGAGGTCAACAGAGAGAAGGTGCCTGGGGCCAATGATAGACACTTACTCTATTAAAGAGAAGCAGTGGCAAATATTCTTGGCCATAGGTTTAGTTTGCCAATTAGACAATAGCCAACAGCTATAGATATTATCAGCAATTCTTAGGTAGAGTACATTTGGGTCCGGAATATGGCCATGGGTGGCCCACGTAAGGGTGACACTGATGAGGGATAGAAGCAGAAAAATTTCACCTTTGGCCCAGAAGGCTGACCTACAGCCTGCACAGTTTCAATAAGGATCAAATACATGCTGGTTGCTACATTCTTAAAGGGTCTCATGACCGCCTGTAAATCTTGACAATATTTAATATTGAACTGAATGATAAACACTAGGGAAATCTTGGGAAAGTAATTTTATAAGTAGAAATTTGAAGAAGACATTTATGATCTAATATGCCCTGCACATCCCCTCCCCCTTGAACACTAAGCATATAACCACCAACTTTATACAGCAAAAGTGTAGCTCCTTCTACCCACAGGTCCTGTCCCAGTGCTATTTAAATGAGAGACTGAAGATGTCTCAAGACTTCTTTCTGAACCATTGTGTTCAATGATCCGACAACAACATGGTTGTCAGCCTAGAGGTGGCATGATCATGGTTTGGTCTTTCCATCCCTTTACATCTATAAACAACACTCTTGCTTGTTCTATCATATATTTCACTTAGTCGATCTAGCTTTACATCTTTCAGGTTACTTAGTATCTATTTTTAGCAAATCTTATGAACTCTGCCTATGTCTCACAATCTACTTGCTTTCTCATTATCTATACTTACCACATCCTATGGGATTCATCCATCCCATTCTGTGCTCTCTAGCAGAGCTGATTTTCTGTAAGAATACAGCAAATTAGCATTATATTAACCAACATTTAAATAGTTTTCTTAATCTATTCAGTGAAATGTATTGACATTATGTAGTCTCTGTTATTTCACTCTTTTCACCTTGCCTTTTCTCACTTTCCTCTCAGTTTTGGTCATTTTGAAAAGACAAAAGGGATGTTTTGTGCAAATTCCCCAAATAAATCAAATGTACTCAATTTTCTATACATTTCCATTTGATAATGACATATAGTCTCTGAAATATATCTCTTCTTAATTTATATTCTAGGAAACCAGTGCTTTAAGATATTTTAATGTAATCACAATACCCTTTAAAAAAATCTATTGACAAGTGATAAAAACAATCTTCATCCCTGTTTCTTATGTAGTCCATGTATTTGACACACAAGGCTTATTAAATATTCTCTTGTACCACAGCTACACCAGATCTTAGCAATTGAGCACACACACACAAAAAAATACAGACTTAGAAACCTTCTGCACCTAATAACCATAAATGAATTTCTAACAATGATGTAGATGCAGAATACTAACTGGAAGTCTCCTATTTCTCCCCAACATAGCTACTCACAACCAATCTTTCCAACAAAGTTCAGATAAGTTAGAGAGAGTTAGCTCTAATCAATAGGTTCACCAATAAACATCTATTGAGTGTGTTCTTTACAAGGCACTGGCAGAAAGCAGAAGTTATCAGCGGATTCTGACATTCGTTTTACCTTTAGTGGTTTCCTAAAAAGTTCTACTAACCAAATGTTTTATTTTTTAAAAAGTCATTTTGGAGACTCTTTATCTGAGACTTTTTTTTACTCAATTATAAATTCATAAAATGTACAAGAAAGAAGGCATGTTTGGAGAAAAAAGACAAAAACTTTAATATGTCTGGATGACTAGGTTTATCAGAATGAAGCTGGGCAGGGTGGCAGAGTATTGCTCAGCATATAATGCTAAGTGGTGTAGATTTTTATCCCCTTGAACATAAACCTGTGCTGTCCAATATGGTAGCCACCAGCCAAATATGAATAATTAAATTTAATTAACTAAATCAAATAAAAATTCAGTTTCTTGGGTAAACCAGCCAGATTTCAAATACGCAGTGGATACATATGGCTAGTGGCAACTATATTGGTTAGTGAAGGAGCACATTTCCATTATTATAGAAAGTTCTACTGGACAGTCCTGCCCTATAGACATTGAGCAGAGTTGGAAATGATAAAATTATAATTTTCCAAAAATCTCTAGGAAGAATTTGATAAAGTGGAAAATGGTAGGGCAATTAGGATATGAACCAGGATGCACATCATACTTAGACTGTGGTTGCAGAAATGAAGACTAGTATGTGTGTTTGTGTTAGGGTTGGGGTCAGGGAGAGAGCTACAGCCAGAGTAGATATGGAGGGTGAAGGAGAGACAGAGTGCTTCTTATTTAGGAAAATGGGTGGATATTGATCTTATTCTCTGAAATAGGAAACTCTAGAGGAGTGGAATATATATATTTGAGAAGACGGGGTGGATGATGAATTTAGGTTATATCCTTGTTAAGTTTGAGATTGTGAGGGACATTCTAGTAAGATATACAACAGGCAGTTGGATATATAGATTTTTAAGTCATTCTCAAGGAGCCTAGGAGGAGATACCTAAATGTTACATGGATTTATCATTACTTCCTTAAAATCAGTACCTAGAAGTGAAATTTTTCTCAAAGAGTATGAATTATATGTGGAGACTTTCCAAGTTTCTTCTTCCTCCTTTCCCCACAACACACACTCCCTGGTGGCCCTTACATTGCCATGATGAACAGATGTTACTGACAGGCACGTGCAATACTCTACAGGTGAGTTGATGGGGTCTGGTGTTTTATAATTAATTGGTTGGGAGACAGATTTCAGAGTTATAACACTTTCTTTGTAAAAACTACAACCTTCTACTGGAATCCAACGGTTTTGTAAATACCATAAAGTAGAACACATTTGCATCTTTATTAGTTTGGGTGCCCGGCAAGAAAACAGAAATCATTAAAAAAATTCTAAACAGCATTTGCTATGGGGAAATGTTGACATAGGTGTTGAAGGCTAGAAGAGCAAAAGGAGAAGGTGAGATTAAATTAGAAATTCCTAATTGCTGGAAGTGGCTACCAGTCCTAGAGCTGGTAGAACAGAGGGTGGGGGTGGTATTAAAGTCTGAGAGCAAACTCACTGCTGAGGATGCTACAGGAGGATGGGAAAAGGGAAGGCAGGACCACTGGAGGGGTTGCTGCAATTGGCTCTGGGACTTTTAAAGGGTACGGATGTCTTCCTGGATACCAAATGCAGAAAGTGAGAGAAAAGAACAACAGCCTTCCAATGTTCCACCTTATGATTTTCTACCTGTGTTTCTTCTTGGGAGAATCATACAGAGAGCCATTTAACAAGGAAGGCTGAGAAATGTAGTCTGTAGACTCTCAGGCCAACTATCATCACAGAGCAGAGTTTAGGTGAGTGTGTGGCTCAAAGACCACAGGCAAATAACCTACACCATGCTTTACCAGGAGGGAAAAAAAAAGTAAACTACAAAAAAACAAAAACAAAAACAAAAACCCTGACTTACTTGGTTTCTATTCTTTGACAAGAATATATTGAACAAATGCTTATTCCTATCCCGATAAATAGTTCAAATCAGTACTCAACTTACATGATTGGCAGGAGATGCAACTGATTTTTAAAGAAACACTGTAATTCATATGTACAAGTTAGTATTGTCTTTTAATGTATTGGCCCCTTGAAAGTTAACATACTTTCAAATAGTGCTGTCATTACTCAAGGGGTATTTAGAACTCCTTTGAAATTGCCTTTCAGAGCTAGTTCTTGAGAAATACATGATAATTAGTAGAATCTATCCCTGCCCACTTTTGGCCTAGTCTGAGTCACCTGGGTTTGATCTGGAGGCTTTATTAAGTTTCAAGAATAAAGACTTGTTGCTAATGTTGGTAAGTACTTGCCACAGTTTCCAATTAAACTTGAGGCAACATGATGTCTTAGTCTACTTCTGCTACTTTGAATTTGGAATAAGACAACAAATGTGGTGGATAATAATAGCAGTAACTTAAGACCGGTCTTTACTGCCTTTCTATGAAGAGAGGAGAGTCACGGCTGTGCCCTGCCCACCCGCACCCTCCCTAATTTCAGCAGGCTGTTTCTATATCCCAGGGTTATTTCCAGCTAAGACAAATGTATAGGCACAAATGTATAAACACAAAAAGTGCCCCTAGCCTCTGTCGTCTAGGACGTGAACCAAGACCACATTTTACGATCACCCACCCACTTCCCTAACGGGACGAATCCATGTACTTTTCCATTTGCCATATCCATACGGCATTTTGGTAAAATAGGAAACTTCTCAAGGGCTTGTGAGGTGTGGAGCACAGGCAAATGCAATGGTTTGTTCCCTGAAGGGAAACGTAAGTAGTAATAAAAATCTTAACAAACACCTCCGTGACACCACGTGCCAGGCTCTGTTTATTCTTTCAATCTTCACAGTTCTGTGACGTAGTCACTTTTATAACCCACTTTACAAATGAGAAACCCGGGGCTCACGGAGGCGATTAACTAGCCAAGACTACTCATCTCGTAAAGGACAGTCCAGGGTTCAAACGCGACACTCGGGTCCGAGTTTGTGCTTTCAGTAAAAAACTGTAACTGCTATTCTGGCAATTTTTACACCGTCAGTACTGGCAACTGGGGAACTAATGGAAAAGGGAATCAACAAAACGGTCCACACCTCGTAAACAGCGCTGATGCACCAAAGAAGGCCAATGTCCCCAGGGAGGGCAGGCGAGAGGACAGGGGGTGTGCCCGCTCTGGAGCGGCTTTGACAGACGCCGTTCCCGGCGGCAAAAGGGCTTCAGCGACCGCTCCGCCTCCACAACATCCCTCATTGGGTCCCTTCCAGGCAGCGTCAAATCGCGGGCGTTCAGAAGGAGGTGGGACTTCCGGGCTCGGTGCGGCCAATAGTGGCCGCGCCGGAAATACCTATGGAGGAAAGGCTGAGGGACACCCGGTGCTTGAAGATTCCGGCGAATCTTGTATTTCACAGACTCGGAAGAAAAATCGGGTTGTTTTTCATCCGCTAATTGTCAGGTTTTGGGGGCAGTGGGAAACAGGAGTTGGGACATGGACAGCCGCTTGCAGGAGATCCGGGAGCGGCAGAAGTTACGGCGACAGCTCCTTGCGCAGCAGGTCCGCGGCCCAGGGAGGAATCGAGAGTGCGCGTGCGCGATTCCCTTCTCCTCCCGGTCTTTCTTCTCCGTCTTTGCCTACCCACTGCGGTGCATACTTTCCTGGTTCCGCGACCCTGTTCCCAGGCCTGCCTGCCTTCCTTGTTCTTAACCGCCGCAGCACCCCTCATATTCTCCATCCTGTGCCGCGGTCATTGTGTTGCTGAACCGAACGCCACGACTGGTCTTCAGCAACCATTATGGAATGCACGCCAAGTGTCTGGCGCAGGGCTCAAGGATGGGGATACAAAGCTTTGGTCTTTGTAAATAAATTACCGTAGTTCACGCAAGGAAGAGTGACTTGTTATCCCTTAAGTTTCGCTAGACGATGTAAATGGTCTTCTGTGTCTTGCCTTTCTTCTTAACACGTAATTCTTGAGATCGTGGCTTCCTTGTGAAATAGATTTATAGTGTTTTCTTTGGGATCATGTCTAAAGACTGCATTAGAAGTAGCCTGAGTGTAAATTTTAGTTTGTGCATCTTGTGTGTTGCAGTCCGCTGTGCTAAATACGGTATCTTCGTCATCACCCATCGCTAACATGTGAATTCTTACTCTGTATCAGTCACAGCAAACCCTTCAAATAGGTATCATTAACTTCACTTACCGAATAACGAAATAGAGTGTAGAGAGGTTAAGTAATTTTTGCCCCGTGTCTCTCACCGCTAGGCCAGAAAATGGAACCCAGTTTGTCTCTCCAAAGCTTGTCTTCACTGCTTCTCGTGTGTAAGTTAACACTTGATCAGGAGAGTACACATGCAGAAAATGCAGATGTACTCCTCTACTGAGAGAGTTTGTGTTTCCCATCCTACCATTCATACCAGTAAAAGTGATGGAGAAAATACTAAGAGGTTTTAATGAGGCATCTTACCGTTATTTTTTCAGTAATGAATCTTGGTTTTAGTAAATGAAAATTTGAAACCTATACTCTTATGATCTGATGGAAAGGTTTGTGGTATAGTGTTAAAAATGTGGGACTTTGGAATCAGATCTGTTCTGTCCCTCTGGCAATATGGTCTGGGACAAATCAGGTATCTTTTCCAAGCCTTCTTCCCACCTTCTTTTATCAAGTTGTCCTCAGAATACTCAGTAGCTTTGTTACCACCAAGTAAGGTTCTCATTTTTGAGTTTTGAATTCTTTGACTTAAAATGCATTCGTAAATAGTTATTTTTGTGTCTTACTATATACCAGGGGATCTAGTAGCCACTGGCAATTCAACTATGTATAAAAAGTAGTCCTTACCCTAAAAGAGCTTGCATAGTGCATAAAACTTAATAATGGGTCCTGTTTATTAAGTACCTTCAGTGAATCAAGACTGCTAAGCTTTTTATATACATTATCTTCAGTCATACAAGTCAGATGCTATTTGCATCTTACAGATGCAGAAAATAGAGCTCAAAAGAATTTAAGTTACATGCTGAAGTCCACAAAGTTTGTAAGTTTGCAAGCTGCAGTTTTAGGCCTTTCCATGCTCTTTCCAGTACACTAGCTGCTCCCTGGTCTTCTAGTTGGTTAGGAACTATTCCACTTAAGTAAGGATGTCTGATATAATCAATGACAGACCTCCACTTTACCAACTAATTTCAGCCTTTCTTTCGATTGCTTTTCTCCATATGAACAACACAGATTACTCCCTAGAATGTGATTTGTGCAATTTATACTTTATGATTTTTAAAAAATTGTCCTCCTTCCTTTCTGATTTCCGTCCATCCACTGTAGCACAGCTCAGGTCAGAACATTGCAATGAAAGCTATCAGAGAGATCTTGATCTCTCTAGCTAAGGATCTTCTTCCACCTGGCTTTTGTTGTCCTTACTGTTAAGTACACTATATTACTTATTGTTATACAGAATATAAACATCAGCAACTTACACCTGCTTTTAACTTAGCTGTAGCTTTATTCCAAAAAAATCGTATATGCTTTCAAATGATACCAAATTGTCCTAATTATTAAAATAATATATTTAGTGTTTCCATAATGGAAAATCTATGATTTACTTACTCCAGTCATTCCACAGTTTTGTGAGAATTTTGACTTAAAGCACTTCTATTGTAATACATTGTATTCTAATGTAGTAGGATATCTAATTGGTTCATTCAAATATTGAGTATCTACTCTTGAGTTAGGCATTATGCAAGCTGCTGAACATACAGATACCAAGAAGACAGAGTTCATCTCCTTAGGGAGCTTACATGTAACTTGGGGAGAAGAAAACAAAAGTAAAGATAAAATAATTGAAGTGTAAAATAAAATAACTGGAAGTTCCAATAAAATAATTGGAAGAGTTAAAATATCAGGAACATTTGATATATTGTAAGAGATTTATCATTGGAGAAAGATTTGGGGAGTCATGAAGTAGGCAAACTAAAAAGGCAGTGGTAATTGTTTGTTTGTTTTTAAAGATTTTATTTATTTATTTGACAGAGAGACAGGGGACACAAGCAGGGGAAGTGGGAGAGGGAGAAGCAGGCCTCCCGCCGAGCAGGGAGCCCGATGCGGGGCTCGATCCCAGGACCCTGAGATCATGACCTGAGCTGAAGGCAGACACTTAATGACTGAGCCACCCAGGCACTCCAAGGCAGTGGTTAATTGTTTAAGATCAAGGCTAGGGACTTGCTCTGATATTTTAGTATATTCCCTTTCCTGAGCTAAAGGGACTATTTAATGCAGATTTCCTCATGCCCTTCTTGTACTTACAAATATTAAATTGTTCCTCATAGCCTATAAATTGCAAATTGTTCATTTGGCTTTTAAAGATTTCCATGAACTGATCCCACTCTGTGTAGTCAGCTTATCTCAACTAGTTATTTGTTGTATTTTGCAGAATTTCCCCAACTGCCAAACAGAATTTGCATTACCATTTTTTAGGTAGTGTTAAAATTCAGTATTGTGCCTATAAATCATTGTATAAAGACTTGGCTTGAATAAAACTGGATAGGTACTTATTACAGCACAGGATACGTAAGATATAATATATGAGCTGATGGATACAAAGTGTTAATGCCTACCACCCTATATACACTATATGTTAGCTGCTTTTTTTGTTATTGCTACTGTTACTAAATTGTGTTTTATTATTTACTTAAAAAGTAGAGGATTGGCTGAAATTGCCTTAATTTCAAAATATAACAAAGTATAAAATGCTCGCTAGCTCTCAGATTTGTTCCTAATTAACATGGTTTTGTTCCAAGGTATTTCTAGTTTTTCCTGCATTTGCCTGCTGAGGTAGTTAGGGCTTTTTGGTTTCTCTGGGGGTTTTTTTGTTTTCTTTCTTTTAATATCTGATATGTTAAATGTTGCTACACCGGCTGGAAAGGCTATCCAATACATTATGATCTAATTTTTGGTTTTTGTCTTTTCTCAGTTGGGAGCAGAAAGTGCCGACAGCATTGGTGCTGTGTTAAATAGCAAAGATGAGCAGAGAGAAATTGCTGAAACAAGAGAAACTTGCAGGTCAGTTGAATAATTTTTTTTTTTTAGTGACATGTTAATATTGTGAAAGGGTTATTGTTTGTTTGTTTTTTAATTTTACTTATTTGAGAGAAAGGGGGAGAGAGAGGGTGAACACAAGTGGGGGGGGGCAGAGGGAAAGGGACAAGCAGACTCCCTGCTGAGAAGGGAACCTGACATGGGGCTGATCCCAAGACCCCAGATCATGACCTGAGCTGAAGGCAGATGCTTAACCGACTGAACCACCCAGGCGCCCCTGGTTATTGTTTTGATAAACAAATAATCCTAGGTATGAAGTGTGTTGTTACGACAAGCATCAAAATAAAGATTTCAGAAATACTGGTTTTTAGTATTCATGAATTATGAATTATGAAATACTTTCTGAATATAGTAACTTCTCATTCATGAAGTAGTTAGAAAATGGAATGTTAGACTAAGAATTAGCTTATATACCATAAATAATTTTATTTACAAATTCTTATGAGAGAAAACACACTTTGCCCTGAAAGTGGTATTCATTTGGTAGTTCATAAAGCACTTAGAATTTTTCAGTATTCTGGTTATTAATTTGAATATCAATTTTGCTTAAGACAGATTAGAATGATATATAATGTAGAAGTTTCTTTTTGCCACTCATCCATTATAAAAGCTAGTTTCTGATTTGGTTGCTTTCTCATAAAAGTAAAATACACGATTACCAATCAGGTTTTGTAATTTTTTTTTTTATTTTATAAATTGGATGAATAGATACTACTTAATCAGAAAAAATGTGCCTTGTTCTGTTTCTGTAAGCTGTTATTTAATATTATTAATAGCTGCCATTTATACATCTTTCTATATCTGTGTGTAACACTTCAGTTTTAATTTTCAGGGCTTCCTACGATACCTCTGCTCCAAATGCAAAACGTAAGTATCAGGACGAAGGAGAGACAGATGAAGACAAAATGGAAGAATATAAGGCAAGTAGAGAACAGGGCAATTTTCTGGTCAAGAAAAATATAAATCCTCACAATAATAGATTCTTTTTTTTTTAAATTTATTTTTATTATTTTTTTAAGATTTTATTTATTGAGAGAGAGAGAAGCACACAGAGGGAGAGTGCAGACTCCCTGCTGAGCACGGAGCCCAATGTAGAGCTCAATCCCAGGACCCTGGGATCATGACCCAAGCTGAAGGCAGACACTGAGCCAGCCAGGTGCCCTACAATAATAGATTCTTATCCAGGAAAATAAATTTGATGAAAAGCTCGATTTTAAACTTTCTAAAATAATTGTCAGTAGCATATGTATACAGGCACACCTTGAAGATATTGCAGGTTTGGTTCCAGATCACCACAATGAAGTGAATATTGCAATAATGCAAGTCAGATGAAATTTTTGGTCTCCCAGTGCACATAAAAGTTATGTCTACACTATCTTATAGTTTATTAAATGCAATAGCATTAATGTCTAATAAAACAAGTTATATACCTTAATTTAAGAATACTTTATTGGGGCGCCTGGGTGGCTCAGTCGTTAAGCGTCTGCCTTCGGCTCAGGTCATGATCCCAGGGTCCTGGGATCGAGCCCCGCATCGGGCTCCCTGCTCTGCAGGAAGCCTGCTTCTCCCTCTCCCACTCCCCCTGCTTGTGTTCCTGCTCTCGCTGTCTCTCTCTGTCAGATAAATAAATAAAATCTTTATTAAAAAAAAATACTTTATTGCTGGAATGCCTGGGTGGCTCAGTCAGTTGAGCATCTGCCTTCCGCTCAAGTCATGATCCCAGGGTCCCGAGATCAAGTCCCATATCAGGCTCCTTGCTCGGTGGGGAGCCCTCTTTTCCCTCTGCCTGCCGCTCCCCCGCTTGTGCTCGCTTTCTCTCTCTCTCTCAAATAAATAAATAAAATCTTTAAAAAAAATACTTTATTGCTAAAAAATGCTAGCCTTCATTTGAGCTTTTTAGCAAGGTTTAATCTTTTTGCTGGTGGAGGGTCTTGCCTCAGTGTTGCTGCAGCTTCCACATCAGCGCTTCCTGCGTCACCTTACACTTTCACGTTGAGATGACTTCTTTCCTTAAACCTCATGAACTGATCTTTATTAGCTTCAGACGTTTCTTCTGCAGCTTCCTCACCTCTCTCAGGCCTCATAGAATTGAAGAGAGTGAGGGCCTTGCTCTAGATTAGGCTTTGGCTGAAGGGAATGCTGTGGCTAGTTTGATCTTCTGTCCAGACCCAGTAAGCTTTTTCCATATCAGAAGTAAGGCTGTTTTGGGGCGCCTGGGTGGCTCAGTTGGTTAAGCGACTGCCTTCGGCTCAGGTCATGATCCTGGAGTCCCGGGATCGAGTCCCGCATCGGGCTCCCTGCTCAGCGGGGAGCCTGCTTCTCCCTCTGACCCTCCCCCCTCTCATGTGCTCCCTCATTCTCTCTCTCTCAAATAAATAAATAAAAATCTAAAAATAAATAAATAAATAGAAGTAAGGCTGTTTTACTTTCTTATCATCCATGTGTTTACTGAAGTAACAATTCTAATTTCTTTCAAGAACTTTTCCTTTGCATTCATAATTAAGCTGTTTGGCACAAAGGGCCTAGGTTTTGGCCTGTCTCAGATTCCACATGCTTTCCTCATTAAGCTTAATAATTTTTAGCTTTTGATTTAAAGTGAGAAATGTGCAATTCTTCCTTTTACTTGAATACTTAGAGGACTTGTAGGGTTACTAATTGACCTAATTTCAATATTGTGTCTCAGGAAATAGGGAGGCCCAAGGAGAGGGAGAGAGACAGGGGAACCACCAGTTGGTGGAACAATCAAAACACAACATTTATTGATAAAGTTCACCATCTTGTATGGACACGGTTCACTGTGCCCCAAAACGATTGTAATAGTAACATCAGAGATCACTGATCACAGATTGTTGATCATCATAACAAATATGGTAATGAAGAAATTAGAAATTTTGTTAAGAATTACCAAAATGTGACACAGAGACAAGAAGTGAGCAAATGCTGTCAGAAAAATGGTGCCAGTAGACTTGCTCGATGCAAGGTTGCCACAAACTTTCAGTTTGTAAAACATGCAATATCTGCAGCGTGCAATAAATTGAAGCACAATAAAATGAAGTAGTCCTGTAATCAGTTCAATTAAGATCTTTCAGTTTCCTCATTTTAATATAAGAGGTGATGGATATAAAGCATAATGCCTAGTAAGCCCTGGACAATAATATTCTTAAGTAAGACTAAGGAGGTAGATGTATCAGAAACTTTGGATAATGGGATCAGATTTTGAGTGGCTACAGTACTGTCTTTTTTGAGTTGTGTTATTCCGTGTTTATTAGTAGGGTAGTACAATTAAGATATTTTGAGAACCTATGGGCTAGACAATAATGTAGAACCGTTTCTGAAAGAGGCCGAAGGAAAAAACACAACTTCTAAACTTATAATTGCAATATTTAGTTGAAAAGAAAGTATTATAGACGAAAAACCTATCTCCATTTCTTTCAAGTTAATTGTTGTACAATTATATTTAATAGAGAATGCATAGTTTCAGTAAGTCTCTAGGAAGTTCAGTGATACAGTTACCTAATCTCATAAATACTGTTTTGTGCATTGCATTTTGGTATATGCTCATATGCAACTTAAATATAAGTGATTATTTTATTGTTATTTTACTTTATTTACTTATTATCATATAAATATGTATATTTAACCATATACAGTTCCTGATATTTTAACATTTTTGATCTATAAAAATAGTAGTTTCATATTGGTGTTTAATAGAAATAAAATTGCCCCATTGGTGGCCATGTCTTTCATGATTTGAGCTAAATTCTAATATCTATAGTATGAGATAAATAATATTAGACAATTCAGTCAACAAAATAAGTAGTTAGAGACAGGTATTTATTGATGAGAATGAAAAGGAAATTTTTATTTATTGTAAAAATAACTAGATAATGATAAGAATGCAAAGACTTCAGTGTTTGACTTTAATGATAATTTGAAAAATTATGTCTTAGGGAAATGAAATATTTATATTGAGTCTTGGGGCACCTGGGTGGCTCATTCGGTTAAGCGTCTGCCTTCGGCTCAGGTCATGATCCCGGGGTCCTAGGATCGAGCCCCACATCAGGCTCCCTGCTCATCAGGGAGCCTGCTTCTCCCTCTCCCTCTGCCTGCCGCTCCCCCTGCTTGTGCTCTCTCTGTCTCTCTATCAAATAAATAAATAAATAAAATCTTTAAAAAACAAAATATTTATATTGAGTCTTAATACTCAAGATATCATAAATACATAAAATATTCCTCCTATACATAAAATGTCTATTTAATCTTCCTTTTCCAAGGATGAATTAGAAATGCAGCAGGAAGAAGAGAATTTGCCTTATGAAGAAGAGATTTATAAAGATTCTAGTACTTTTCTTAAGGTAAATAAATTTTTATATCATAACTCTTCACATTTCAGCTCTATGCATGAAAAAATTTTAAATACTTATTTTCAACATTTTTTCAGTTATTGAGGAATAATTATTATAAAATAAAAATCATTTAAAATTATTCTTGAAATAGACTTCTGATACTTGGCCATTTAGGATGAGATAATACTGTATCAATGTCTGTAGCTACTAAAGAGTAATACTGTCATTTTAGTTGTGTTTTCAAATAGTCCTAATTTTTTTTAATCTACGGATCAACTTCTATTTTGTATGGCCTCATAACAAAAAGTAAATTACAGAGTTAGTGTATCTGCCATTAGAGTAAATGCTTTTAATTTAATTTTGGCTTTTTCTTTAGGGAACGCAGAGTTTAAATCCTCATAATGATTACTGCCAACATTTTGTAGACACTGGACATAGACCTCAAAATTTCATCAGGGATGTAGGTATGTTAGATTTGTTGGGAATATGCTATTGCTAACTCTTGATTACATGCATGTAATTTATCCATTTTGTGGATTATTTCTAACAAAATTATTTTTCCTGGCTTGGCTTTTCTAATTCCAAAATTATTTTTCCTGGCTTCTTGTTTTCATTCTGCATACTTACAGTATACCTTCCTTTTCCTTCCAGCAGTGTTACTCCCTTCCTTCCTTCCTTCTTCAGTTTGGTTCTGTGACTATCCTTGCATTTTTATTTTACCTTCATTTATTTCCTCTTTGATGCTTTTCCTTTCATTTGTAGGCTTGATTTTCTCACCTGTATTATTTTTTTACTTCTCTCTATAAAGAATTTAACATTTCTTGCAAGGTGGGGCTGTTGGCAACAAATTCCCTCAATATTTATTTTTCTAAGAAAGTCTTTATTTCTCTTTTACTTTTGAAGAATAATTTCACAGAGTATAGAATTCTTGGCTGGTGTTTTATTTTTTCAACACATTTTAAATATTTAACTCCAGTCTTTTATTGCTTGCATATTTCTGAGAAATTGGATATTTGTTCTTCTGTAGGCATGGCGGTTTTTTTCCTCTGATTTCTTTAGGATTTTTTCTTTATCTTTAACGTTCTGTAGTTTGAAAATGATATGCCGTAAGTTTAGGGGTTTTTTGGTATTATACTGTTTGATATTCTCTGAGCTTCCTGGATCTGGTTTGTTGTCTGACATTAATTTGGAGTTCTCAGTCATTATTATTTCAAATATTTCTTCTCTTCCTCTCTCTCGTTCTTCTGGTATTTCCATTACACATGTTACATCTTTTGTAGTTGTCCCATTGTTCTTGGATTTCCTAGCTTTTTTTTTGTTTTTTCTGATTTTGTTCTCTTTGCTTTTCAGTTTTTGAGTTTGCTATTAAGATATCCTCAAGCTCAGAGGTTCTTCCCTCAGCCCCTGTCCAGTCTACTAATAAGTCCCTCAAAGGCATTACCCCTGCATTTTTAAAAACAGCTTTATTGAGATGATTCATATACCATATAATTCACCCATTTAAAGGATATAATTCTGTTTGGTTTTTTTTTTTAGTTAATCCAGTTTGTGCAATCATCACCACAATGTAATTTTCGTCTCCCCTAAAGAAACCCCATTGCTAGTCAGTTCCCATTGCCGCCTCCTCATCTGCCCCCAACCTTAAGTAACCATTAATTGACTTTCTATCTCTAATAATTTGCGTATTCTAGACATTTCATATAAATGGAATTGTACAATATGTGGTATTTTGTGCCTGGCTTCTTTCACTTGGCACAGTGTTTTCAAGGGTCGTTGATGTTGTGGCATGAGCCAGTACTTTATTTATTTTGACTGCCAAATAGTATTCCATTGTATGTATGTACCATATTTTGTTGATCCATCCATTTGGGTTGTTTCCACTTTTTGGCTGTTATAAACAGTGCTGCATCAATATTCATGTAAAATTCTTGTGTGAACATATGCTTTCATTTCTCCTAGGCATATGTCTAAGAGTGGAATTGTTGGGTCATGTGTTAATTCTCTGTTTAACTTTTGGAGGAACTGCACAATTGTTTTTCAAAGCAGCTGTACCATTTGACATTCTTCCCAACAGTGTATGAGGGTCCCAGTTTCTTCCCATGCTTGACACTTAATATTCATCTGTCTTATTAATTATAGCCATCCTAGTGGGTATGAAGTGATAATTTCACTGTGATTTTGACTTGCATTTTCCTAGTGACTAATGATATTAGGCATCTTTTCATATGTTTGTTGGCTATTTAAGTATTTACTTTGGAGAAATATCCAAACTCTTTGCATATTTTTTAAGTGGTTATTTGCCTTTTTATTATTACATTGTAAGAGTTTATATTCTCAGTCCAAGCCGCTTATCAGACATATGATTTGGAAGTATTTTCTCCCATTCTGTGGGGTTATCTTTTTACTCTCTTGATGGTATAATTTGCAACACAAAAAAAATTTTAATTTTTATGTCATCTGATTTATTTTTTCTGTGTTGCTTGCAAGCAGTGTTACTCTTGAAGTAGAAACTGATTTTAGTGTTTTCATGAGCAAAATTTAGCTGTAGCATAAAAAGTTATGATAATGCTAAGTAAAATAAGCCAGCCAAGGAACAAATATGCAAATACTTAGGTACCTAAAAGAGTATATGTAATATGATTAATACTTATACTTTTATGAAGTATTAACATAGTCAAACTCATGGAATCAGAGAACAGTGGTTATCAGGGGTTGGAGGAAGGGGAAAATAGGGAGTGTTACTGAATTGATATAAAGTTTCAGTTATGCAAGATGAATTAGTTCTAGAGATCTACTGTATAGCATAGTGCTATACAGCAATGCTGTTGACTATAGTCAATAAAACTTTAGAAATTTGTTAAGGGTAGAGCTCATCTTAAGCATTATCACACATGTACATGCGTGCGTACATACACTCACAGACACACACCCCCCCCCCAGAGGAACACAAGAAAACTTTTAGAGGTGATGGATATGTCTGTTGCCTTGGCTGTGAGGATTTCACCAGTGCATGCCTATGTCTAAATTCATCAAATTGTGTATATTAAATATGTGTGTTTTTTATATATCAGTTATACTTTAGTAAAGCTGTTTTTTATGATAGTTGTATAACTGAATTTCATTATCTACCTTTCTGCTCTTAAGATACTTATTTCCCCACAGCAAAGATAAAGTACTTAGGAAACTATTACAGATTGAGAAAAACTTGCACTTTCTGTTTTATGGAAGAGTGAGAGCCAATTCTCCTGTGATTAAAACCTGACTATAATAAAAGTCTTTAAACTTGTTTTATTTGCAATTTGTTTTATAAGCACTGATTGAAGAGGCTTTACAAAATCTTTCACTTTTGGGGCACCTGGGTGGCTCAGTTGGTTAAGCGACTGCCTTCGGCTCAGGTCATGATCCTGGAGTCCCTGGATCGAGTCCCGTATCGGGCTCCCTGCTTGGCAGGGAGCCTGCTTCTCCCTCTGACCCTCCCCCCCATCATGTGCTCGCTCTCTCTCATTTTCTCTGTCTCAAATAAATAAATAAAATCTTAAAAAAACAAAACAAAACAAAATCTTTCACTTTTACTCTTTGATATTAAAGTTATTACTATCTGTACTTTTGGCTTTTAAATTAAGATGCTTATATGATTTATATTGTTAGGAATATGTTTCTTGGGGTGGCGGAGGAGAAAACCAAATAAAAACTTTTAGGAATCTTTGACGTTCAAAGCCTTACTTATCCGTATAGTTGTTTAACAGGCATTATGCTGCTTTACCTAAAATCTCTTCTGAGCTCAAAGATCTAAAACATTTTTGAGGACATGGGAACAGTGAGTCTCTGTTTTTAAGTACCCTTTGTAGGACTTATATATGTTTTTTAAGATCTTAAGCCTGAGAATATATATGGGGATTTGGTTTATAATAATGTGGAGATATGAAATCTTTAAAATTATAAATATTGATATAAGAAATACTCAGAGAAGACAACTTGTCTTGGAGGTGAGAGGTAGTCTACTATTAGGGACTCATTATCTTCTTTACTAGATTTGTTCCAGGATTGTGTCCATAAACCATAGCCAGTTAATTTAAGATCATTAGCAGTGTTTCTCTCATCTGTAACTATTCTTTGTTTCTTCCTATGTGTAATCATAAGAAAGAAAAGAAATACTCATTTTCTCTGCTTTTGATAACTATTTAAGAAGCTAAGTACAAACCTCAGTAATCACTAACTTCTTAAGGAGAAAGAATTCTTTTAGCTAATAGAAAGGGGGGAAAACATGGTAGAAGAAGGCAGTTGTTCTTTTCTTTCCCTCAGAACAGAATGGCTTAACTTAATGCTGTGAGCAAATTTAACTTAAATATGAGAGATTAAATGGTTTATTGATTTGGACTGGAACATCTGGGTTTTTGCCTGCATGTGGGATTAGGGTCATTAGATATGAAATGTATATATAAAATATTTTAAAATATTCAAAATTAACTTTTTAAAAGGACACAAGAATAAAGTGGTAATTGTGTATTGTTTTGTTTTCCTGAGGGGGCTCATAACCTTTTAATTCACTGATACTAACTTCTATTGAAATTTATTATTTACTATTTTTTGTCCTCAGGTTTGGCTGACAGATTTGAAGAATACCCTAAACTGAGGGAGCTCATCAGGCTGAAAGATGAGTTAATAGCTAAATCTAACACTCCTCCTATGTAAGTGTGTTTTTTCAGTTACTTTTTATTGCCAACTCAAGCTTAAAATAGCAGTCTTTTTATCCTATAGCCTTTCTGTTTGAAAAAAAATTCAGCACCTATTTAATGTTAACAGACTGTTTTCTTCTGTATGGTAAAATAGATTCGTTTGACATTCCAGTGCTGAGTACACTAGTAGGCTCTCATTTTATTTTTCAGTTTTCTAGACAATTTCCTTAAAGTGTCTTTAATTTTTTTTCTTAGAAAATTGTTCATGTTCGTTGTATTCTTGAGCTTCTTAAAATGTATTTAAATGACTTTTCCTCTCAAAAAGCAGTTTATTTATTGAAGGAAGTTTAGAAAACTTAGGTGAAGGAAAAGAAGAAAATAAAAATTAATTATAACTCAGCATTCAGGGATACTATTCTTAACATACTGGATTATGAAAATTCATTTTAACCTTTGCTAAACAGAATAATGTTTTCTTCAAAAATGTGTAAAAAGTCTTTGAAACTGGAGAATCTACTTAATTCACATTAGCTTACTTTGAACATTTTATACACTTAACAATTTGCTAAAATGTATACTCTTAGTGATTAGAAGAATCACAAAGAAGTCCAAATGTATGGAGAAAAATATTAGCAGATTCTAATATTCATCCAATTTAAAAAACTGTTAAAGTATTTTATATTTAAATTACTTTCATAATGTGTAAAAAACCTTTCAATAAAGGCTAGTTGTAATTTATACTAGGTAGCCAGAAAAGGCTATTAATATAAACAATTTTACTAAAAAACAAATTGATAAAAGAAAATTACACCCATCTTTAGAAACAATTTTTTAGAGGGAGGATTTTAAAGCTAACAAATAGTTCTTCTAACTTAACAATTAAGAAAAAAATAATGTTCAGATTATGATGAAATAGGCCTCAGAGACTTACATACTAGTATGGATTTTCAATGTAAAAATGAGAGAAGTACATTCTCGATGTACATAGGGGAATATGATTTTAGTTTGTAGTGTGATTATATCAATCTTCTAGAGAAGAGTGTTGGTAGATGGTTTACTGTCTATATTGAAGAAAGATACTCCTGCATAAAAAAGTATCACTAATTAGTTTCTGATTACTTTGTAAATAGTGTTTAGTAATATTTAAGAAATTCCTTTCATTATCATCTGTAAAGGTATTTGAAAATCTTAGTCACTTTTTATGCCTTAATCAAATAGGTACTTACAAGCAGATATAGAAGCCTTTGACATCAGAGAACTGACACCTAAATTTGATGTGATTCTTCTGGAACCCCCTTTAGAAGAATATTACAGAGAAACTGGCATCACTGCTAATGAAAAATGCTGGACTTGGGATGATGTATGATGAAATTTTCTACATTGTAATTATTTATTTTTCAAATGAATATTTATTTGATGAGAAGATTATAAATATTCCTACCTTTTTAGGAATCGTAAATATATAGTATATAATGTGACAGAAGATCCAGGGTACACTGACAAATATTACACTATCTTTGGTCTGATTCTTCTTTTTGGGGCAGAAGTTGAGCAGGTAGTGAGTACTCTATAGAAGACTCACAGTTCCAGGTTTAGAGTCCTTGGATGTATAGCTAGAGAAGTCTAAAGCCAGAGTGATTGATAACTCTTTCTGCATTTGCTTAGTTTTAGTAAACAGTAGAGTATAATAGGTATATATATAAAAAAACGTGATTTCTTTTCCAGGAACTTACAGTATAATGGATAAAAAAGATACATAATTTCAGTATAATTGTGATAAAATTACATTTTCCTAAATAAAATTAGGCAAGCTGATAACTTCAGTCAGTTATATAAAGTTACCTGCTTTTACCAATCAATAACAAAAATAACAAATGCTTATTGAGTACCACTCTGTGCTAGGCAATGTGGTAGATACTGGAGGGGCGCCTGGGTGGCTCAGTCGGCTAAGCAGCTGCCTTCGGCTCAGGTCATGATCCCAGGATCCTGGGATCGAACCCCACATCGGGCTCCCTGCTCAGCGGGAAGCCTGCTTCTCCCTCTCCCTCTGCCTGCCACTCTGCCTACTTGTGCTGTCTCTCTATCTCTCTGTCAAATACATAAATCTTAAAAAAAAAAAAATTAAAAATTAAAAAAAAAAAATGTGGTAGATACTGGAGATTCACAGATGAATAAGACCTGGTACTTGGACTTAAGGAGCACCTAGTTTAATGGGATAAATATTGACCTAAACAGATAATTGCATTATTATTTTGTTAGTTCCATGATAGAGGACTGCGTAAGATGATCTGAGAGAAAAACTGACCAAGCCTTGGAGGAAGGGGTACATGAACAAAGAGGAGGTGACATTTTAACAGGATAAATAGACTAGTTGGAATTGGCCAAATAAAGAAAAGGATGGGATGGTGATTCCAAATGGAAAGAACAGTAAGAGCAGAAGGGATGGAAGCAAAGAATATCTGGTTTGTAGGTTGATGGTAGAACACAGATTGGGCCTTTCTTGAGATGATGTCTTCTTAGAAGCTTAAACTCTCATCCTGAAGACATTAAGGAGCCTTTGAAGGGCTTTAACCAGTTTAGTTAAATGGTCAGATTAGTGTGTATAGTATGAACTAGAGGAAAAGTCTGGAAAGGGGAGAGCAGTTAGAAGACTGTTGCAGTAGCCTAGTTAGGAGATAAAGGGACCTTGAATAGGGTGATGGTAGTAAGAATAGAAAGGTGATAAATTCAGTAATGTGTAGTAGATACTGTGGTGAGCTATAGTTATTGGAATGAGGGGGGAGAGTTAAGGATGACTCAGATTTGAGTCTTGGGATAAGTGGGTTGAGTTTTCACCAGTTGAGAAAGAGTGAATTTAAGAAGAGCTGGATTGGAGGGATTAGATCATATGAACATGTTGATTTTGAGGTGTATGTAAGACCGCTATGTGGAGGTTGTAATAGGAATATGTCATTCAAAGGACAGACAGATCTGTGTCTCAAAATAGAGGTTCAGAAGATTAGCACATCAAACCTATGAGAATAGATGAATTTGTCCTGAGATAGTGTCTTAAGATAACATGTGAATTGACAGTAAAGCCTCAGGAAACTTTTATATTTAAGAGGCACATATAAAAGAGAGGTCAAAAGAATGGGTCAAAGATGAGTAAGGAAAACCAAGAGTATGAACGTCATAGGGGCCAAGGGAATAAGGAATTTCAAGGAGAGAGTAGGCCAGGAGTGTTGAGCACAGAAGGGAGGTTGGGAAAGGAAAGGACTGACATTGTAAGTCGGGTGTTTCATAGGAAATGGTGCTGAGTTCTTGCATGTCCTCTTCTGTGTTAATGATAGTTACTCTTATTAATATTATTTAATCTTCAAGATATACTTTTAGTTTTTCCTCCTTGAAGCTTTTCCTTTCATCTTCAATCCCTCTGACATTTTTTATTTACATTTTTATGGATCTTATCACTTTGAAAAAGTTTTTCCCATCCGCTGATGATAAATGTAATTTGTGCTTATTGAAATTCAGAAAGGTAACAGTATATAGTATTCGAAAGACATAAAAGACTTAATACTCTTGATATTTATTGCTGGGAAATTTTCCAGAGAGGTTGCACAAATTTATGTTCCTTCCAGTAGTGTTTGAGAAATATCTATTTAGCCATATCTTCATCAAAATTGATTAATATTATAAAAACAGTCTTTGTGACTTTAGTAAAAAAAAAGAAAACTGAAAAAAATCTCATTATGTCTTTGATTAGTATAGTTGATCCTTGAACAATGTGGATTTGAACTGCACGATTTCACTTCTACATGGATTTTTTACAGAACAGTAGCTTAAATGTATTTTCTCTTTATGATTTTCTCAGTAACATTTTCTTTTCTCTGGCTTACTTTAAGCATAGACTATAAAATACATATAACATACAAAATATGTGTTAATTGACTGTTTATGCTATCAGTAGGGCTTCCAGTCAATAGTAGGTTATAAGAAGTTAAGTTCTGGGGAGTCAGAAGTTATACTCGCATTTTCTTTGAGGGATATGGGTTGGTGCCATTAACCCCTGCATTGTTCATGGGTCAGCTGTAACTAGGCTGAACTTTATTTTCTCTGGCCAGTTTCTAAGGTTTGGTCAGTGAAGACACAAGAGCTTCAACTATAGGTGACAGACTAACAGAGTTTTTGAAATAAAGGAACTCTATTTTATATGCATATTCTTGATTTCACTTGAATTTCACTGAACTCTGGCTGGCATATTGAAATGTTTTGTCTGGCCCTAGAGCCCTAAGTTCTTAATCTTTATGTGATAATATCCTAAAGAAAGTGCCAGTAGTTAAACTTATATATAAAATGTAAATAAGAAAAGTGGATTTCACAAGTATTCTCTTTCACATTAGAGAGTCAGTAGTGGTCAACATATTTTGGTAAAGGATATAAGCACTTATTTAAAATACCAACACTTAGCATTTAGAGCTGCAATGTCAAGAGAATAATTTGCTTAATGTTTTCACTAATGTGTGTCATCACTTATTTTTATCTGTTTCACATATAAACATGTAGGAGTATGTGTGTGTGTTACATATTTACTTATTTATATTCCTATGAGAATATTAGATGAGATTTCAAGATTTAGAAAAGTCAGAATATAAAACTCACTAGGCTTATACATATTGTAGCTTATTTCCATTATTACTGTCAAATAATGTTTTTCTGTTTAGATTAAGTTAGAGATGATATGGTTATAACTTAAATGGATCTGTTATTAAAGATTTTTTAAATAAATGAAACACAAATATTTGCTTAAACCATGGTCTCTGAAACTTAACTGTGGCAGAAAACTAGAAGAAAAAGAATATATAAAATGGTTAGTTTTACAGTTTTTTATGTGACTATGTGGAAATTTACAGATTTAATTATTGAACAAGTTTTTTTTTCCCATGTGACACACAAGGGAAACATACACATACAAGGAAACACATATAAAGGAACAACACATACAAGGGAAACAAAATTATAGATTAATTTTTTGTTTCAAGTTTTTATTGAAATTCCAGTTAGTGAACATAAAATGTAATATTAGTTTCAGGTGTAGAATTTAGTGATTCATCACTTAATACAACACCCAGTGCCCATCACAACCAGTGCCCTCCTTAATGCCCATCACCCATTTAGTTCATCCCCCACCCACCTCGTTCATCAACCCTCAGTTCTCTATAGTTAAAAGTCTATTGTATGGTTTGCCTCTCTCTTTTTTTCCCCCCATGTTCATTTGTTTTGTTTTCTAACTTCCACATATGAGTAAAATCTTATTTGTCTTTCTCGGACTGACTTATTTTGCTTAGCATAATACTCTCTAGGTCCATCCATGTCATTGCAAATGGCAAGATTTCATTCTTTTTTTATGGCTGTGTAATATTCCATTGTAAATACATATCACATCTTCTTTATTCATCAGTTGATGGACATCTGGGCTCTTTCCATAGTTTGGCTATTGCTGACAATGCTGCTATAAACATCGGGGTGCATGTGCCCCTTCGAATCAGTTTTTTTGTGTCCTTTGGGTAAATACCTGGTAGTGCAGTTGCTGGATCATAGGATAGTTCTATTTTTAACTTTTTGAGGAACCTCCAGACTGTTTCCCAGAGTGGTTGTTTGCACTCCCACCAACAGTGCAATAGGGTTCCCCTTTCTCCGCATCCTCACCAACCCCTGTTGTTTCTTGTGTTGTTAATTTTAGCCATTCTGACAGGTATGAGGTGATATCTCATTATAGTTTTTTTAATTTTACTTTATTATGTTATGTTAATTACCATACATTACATCATTAGTTTTTGATGTAGTGTTCCATGATTCATTGTTTGCATATAACACCCAGTGCTCCATTCAATACATGCCCTCTTTAATACCCATCACCAGGCTAACCCATCCCCTCACCTCCCTCCCCTCAACAGATGAATGGATAAAGAAGATGTGATATATATATACAATGGAATATTATGCAGCCATCAAAAAAACCCCACACGAAATCTTGCCATTTGCAACGATGTGGATGGAACTAGAAGGTATTATGCTAAGCGAAATAAGTCAATCAGAGAAAGACATGTATCATATGATCTCACTAATATGAGGAATTCTTAATCTCAGGAAACAAACAGGGTTACTGGAGTGGTGGGGGGTGGGAGGGATGGGGTAGCTGGGTGATAAACATTGGGGAGGGTACGTGCTATGGTGCGTGCTGTGAATTGTGTAAGACTGATGAATCACAGACCTGTACCTCTGAAACAAATAATACATTATATGTTAAAAAAAAGAAGAAGATAGTAGGAAGGGAAAAATGAAGGGGCGGAAATCAGAGGGGGAGATGAACCATGAGAGACTATGGACTCTGAGAAACAAACTGAGTAGTTTTGATTTGTATTTCCCTGATGATGAGTGATGTTGAGCATCTTTTCATGTGGCTGTTGGCCATCTGTGTGTCTTCCTTGGAAAAATTAGACTATTTTTTTTGGCATTTCAGACTTAAAGTGGTCATTATAATGAGATGTGCATATTGATTTATTTTATATAGAACTTTTGTAGTTACTGAAAACCAGATTTTCCCCAAACATTTGTTATATTTCATTTTATTTTTGCCCCTAATTTGGGGGTAATTCAACCTCTTCTATTTGAGTTTCTTTTTCTGTAAGTCATAAAGGGCTGTTCTCAAGCTACATCTTATAAAATTCCATTATTCTATGAATATGGTCCCTATAACCTTTTTCTGCATAAAATCAAGTGTATGTGTATGTGTGTGCATGTGTGTTTATTTTCTTAATATAGAATAAGAAAACAGTAGAATAAGTTGTAAGGATAAAATTTATTTTCTAATGAAAATTAGTACATTTAAAGAACACATCTACTGAAAGTCCTGATAAATCTCAATGTTTGTTCTTTTGGATTTAGGATGACTGGGAAACAAAATACTTTTATGCAGTATTGTTTTGGTTTCCTACAGATTATGAAGTTAGAAATTGATGAGATTGCAGCACCTCGATCATTTATCTTTCTCTGGTGTGGTTCCGGGGAGGGATTGGACCTTGGAAGAGTGGTAAGATGTTTTTTTTTAATTGGATTTTTAAATTCATAAGAAAAAATATAAAAAGTTTGAAGATATAGATGTTATTCTGTCCTTTGTTTCTTGAGTTGCTAAAATACTCAGAAGGAAAAACATATGTTCAGAAAAGAACGCATCAAAGTCAGTACTCTTCAGTTAACTAGCACTAGGGTTGAATATGTCCAAATATGATTTGTTACAATTTCAGGAGAACAGTTTAGACATTTGAAACCGCAGCTCAAAAACAGGCTGCTTAGTGTCATTTACTGCTCATTATGAGGAGCTAAAAAGTACTCTTCTGAATAGTATTAACTGCTGAATTCCAAATAGAAACCAAAACAAATTGGAAAAATAACACAGCATTTGGAACACATGGTTTGAATGATTGAATGAGAGTGAGAAAGAAGTTACGTAACACCTGTATTTATTTTAAGCATCTTATATTTCCTGTGTTTCAGACCTTTATTTTTTATTGCAGTATTTTGGATTTCTAAATGGAAACAAAATAGCATATGCTTTTTTATCCAAGAATCATAGGAGCATGTGGCTAAGTATTAGAAAGCTTCATTCAGTTTTGGTCTCAGTTCTGCTGTCTAGCAGTGAACTTTGGGTAGAGATTTTTACTCTGGTGGGTTTCAGTTTCTTCACTTGTTATTAGATGACACCTTCCATTTTTAGGACATACTACTTGTTATACAGCAGATGATCTCATTTAATCCTGGTAATTTTAGGACGTGTCCATTTGACAAGTAAAGAATTTAAGTAGGATTATATTGAGATCAATTTGTGCTAAAATCCTGAAATTCTGCAATTACTTTGTATTCTTTATATAAATAACAAGTTTGAGACTGTTGGATACATCCTTGCTTGTATCATTTATTAACTCCAAGGTAAGACTATAACTGTATTCCAATTGGGTATCTGTTTTTTGCTGGTGCCTCTCCAAGATGCTCTGGAAAAGCTAAGAAAATAGAAACATACTATGTGTTTTTATAGGTATGTTGGTATTTACCTTTTATAGCTCTAATATCTGGCTTTGGACTTGCCTTTCACCTCCCAAATTAGGTTGAAAATGATTAGGAGGTTTTATTGTATTTGTTTATGTAGCAGTCTGTCATATTGGTGAAAGCAGATTTTGGCCAAAAATGATTGCGAAAATAATTCAGCATGAGAAATACTCATGAGCTTTTTGTTAAATTGATTAGGGCGTGGGGATTTAGACCCTTGTGATGTATAATGAATATCCAGTGCAAAACAAATAATTGCTGACAGGAACAGATACTGATCTTGATTTTTGAGATTTTAAAATAAAAATCCAAGTTTCATTTTGAGGTGTTTCTCACTTTACACAGTAAGAGCATTCCTGAAATGAACAGTACCAACAATATTGTACTGCATAATTTAGTTATTTTCCCCCTCCTTTCTCTTGGATCATTGGGGGTGGGGGAGGACATATCTTATGTTTTTATTCCCACCAGCTAGTCAGCACCTACATTGGGTACTAGGCCCTCAATATGACACTCTAAGCAATATATTAGCAAGTGTTTGTTACATGTTCTTACATAACAGATTCTAGGACACTATGGGTCAGGTCTCTGTTTTCTAGATTGTATAGAGATGAAAGTAGTTTTATCCAGTAATGAGATCTACATAACAGTTCTAAGGCTTTGAATTTTTTCAAGTTGTTAGTATTAAATATATAAAAATAACATAAGACTCTCATATGAAAAGAAGCTATCAATTAGAATACTTTCAGTAGTTTTTAGCTTTGTCAGAGGATAGAAAATCAAGGTGCTAGGAATCAAATTATCTGTTGAATTTTATGATTAAAGAGGGGCTGAGTGTTTTATGATTTAAAACCCACTTTCTATTGGTGACAGTGGAAGGTAGTATTAAAGAATTGGAGGGCGCCTGGGTGGCTCAGTTGGTTAAGCGACTCCCTCCGGCTCAGGTCATGATCCTGGGGTCCTGGGATCAAGTCCCACATCGGGCTCCCTGTTCAGCGGGGAGCCTGCTTCTCCCTCTCCCCTGCTTGTGTTCCATCTCTCGCTGTGTCTCTGTCTGTCAAATAAATAAATAAAATCTTTAAAAAAAAAAAAATTGGAGTATTAATGTAATTCTTTGTTTTGATATTTAACTTTATAGATTATGTTAATATCCAGAATGTATCTATGCATTCTGTATAATGGCTGTCTATTTAAAGACTGGTATTTCTTTTTTTCTATTTCTGAACTAAAAAATTACTGTGACATCTTGGAATTTAGTGTCTCAAACCTCTAGGAAGTTTTTTAATGCTGGTTGGTTATTTTAAGTATTGTTTATTTCTTTTGGCTAAGGATTTCTTTTTTTAATTCTTTCATTTCTAGTGTTTACGCAAATGGGGTTACAGAAGATGTGAAGATATTTGTTGGATTAAAACCAATAAAAACAATCCTGGAAAGACTAAGACTTTAGATCCAAAAGCTGTCTTCCAGAGAACAAAGGTATTGCCTTTATTGTTTTGTTTTCTTTATTTTCATTACTTTCCCTCAAGCTTTTCCAAATGACTGTATACTGTTTAATTTTGGTAGAAAGGTTCTTTTCTTAGATTTGTACAAATGGCATTGAACGTTATAGTAGTACATCCAGTTTAATTTTAAAATATTTTATGTACTATGTTAGATCAACATTCACTGTGCTAGAGAAGGTAATATGTATTCTTGTGTGTTCTAAACTGCTGTAATTCTAAGTCAGTATGGACTTTTGGTCCCTCTGACCCCTCCAGATTTTTTCCTTTTCTCTGGGTCCAAAAAAAAGAGATGGCAGCAACACTCTCACAGCTGGTTGGCTTAGAGGCATACTTATTTCCTTCTCTTTTTCCTATGTAAGAATCCTAAGGACCTACACAAGGTTCGTACTCTGCTCCATGCAACTGCTCTGTTACTATCAGGCTTTAAAAGTTTGTCCTCCAGTCTTTCACTCTTTAGGGAGCGACTAGTGGGAGAGTCTTTCTTATTAAGTCTTCCCGAGACTGGAAAATTCTTTTGAAGGGAACCTACGTTACCCTTGCAATAGTGGTTCATGGAGTCAGCTGAGAGATTAAATTTATTTAACCCATACGCCTGCCATTTAGGTTAATTAGAGAAGATCAAAAAAACAAACAAAAAATTGTTTGATTTTCCCATTTTCTTAGGTTGAGTAATTAGAAGTCTGTATACATGATTAAAGTCCCTCTCCATACAAAAAACCTTACATCTTGTATATTGTTTTGATCTTGGATCATATATGAAGCCCCCAGTATAACATCATTTTAAGATTCCAAGGTCAAGTGTCATGTTTCTGTAACTGGTTGCAGAGGAAAAGACTCTGTGGTCATTGACACAGATCTAAAACGTCATGGCCCCAAATTTAATACTGTCATGTCTAGCTTCCCTGGCAGTCTTCCCACATCCAGAGATCCAGGTTTTCTTTCCTATTGTGTTTTTGCCCATAGAACTATTTTTCTAAAGATTTGGAGAAATGAAGTTTGTTTTGGAATTGGGGACATCAGAAATGTAAAATGTTAGGAAATATGACTGCTGATGAAGAGATTAATTGGTCTGCTCTTACTTTTATTTAGGAACACTGCCTTATGGGGATCAAAGGAACTGTTAAGCGTAGCACAGATGGGGACTTCATTCATGCTAATGTTGACATTGACTTGATTATCACGGAAGAACCTGAAATTGGCAATATAGAAAAGCCTGTTGAAATTTTTCATATAATTGAACATTTTTGCCTTGGTAGAAGACGCCTTCATCTGTTTGGAAGAGATAGTACAATTCGACCAGGTAGGACCTTAAAAAATCTTTGAAAAACTTTATCACCCCTGGGCATATAGGTGTCAAGAAATAGTACACACTGCTGTGTAAAATAAAATTCTTATGATGTGTTTGATTCCTCTTGCTGTACTTCAGATATGCCAAGCTCATTCTTATCTTTTCATGGTCCTCTGCTTTCATTCATATACCTGACCTTTTCTCACAACTCTGTCTAAAGTGGCCACCTTCCTGTTCCACTCCCCTCCTTCCTCCTTCCAACACTGTCTTTCCCCTTACTCCATTTTCTTTTTCTTCATGACACTTATCATTAGATGAATTGCAGGTTCATTTGGGCATATGTTTTAGTCAGTTTCTCCAGCATGCAGTCTCATGGAAGGCAAAGATTGTCTTATTCACTTCTTTCTACCCAGCATTCAGATCATTCAGTAAATAACGTGTTGAAGAAATGCATAAGTGAATGATTAAATAATTCTGCAGAAAATAACCATACATTTGTGAAATACAGATCTTGGCTTTATTAGAAACTAAAATACCTAGCTTGTTTGCTTACATGTATAGTGGTGTTGTCTTTTCAAAATTTTAACTTTTTACGAAAACAATGTAATGTGAATTTACTACTTTGAAAAAAAAATGAGTAGAAAATAATTAGACTGTTATGGACAAAGATTTTTTCTTAGAGGGCACAACTTTCATGTACAGAGTGTCATTGAAATGTCAGTATATTCTATTTCTTTTATTGCTTTCTCAAAATGTAAAAGTAGCATTGCTTTATTCATGATATATAAAATCAGTCCCTGCCTTAGCATGTTAAAAATCCAGTTTAAAGGTGAAAAGAGCCAGAATCTTGTTTTAAACAACCTAAATTTTATAAAATGTAAGAAAAGTTAAAGAATTTATAATAGAATAATTGGCCATACAAGTACCTAAGAATTTAGAAGAAACTGATTTTCATTCTAAAAAAAGTAATCCTTAAAGTTGCCTTAACTTGTGTGTATAACATAATCCACGCCTCTTCTCTCTCCCTGCCCATCAGCTACTTCTGTATGCTTTGGTGAGCAGAGTAACTTGAAAATATTTCAGTTGTAGAAACTCATGGTCTCAAATTTCATGAAATTATGTAAAATAATAAACAGAAAAGTAAATAATTGAAAAATCAGTCTTTATTGGGCACTTACAGTTACTTTGTAGTTTTTCCCATTCCAGATACAGTTAATCAGAAATCATCCTCATTACAAGCTGTCTAGCAATGTAGCTGACAAGACTACCTTTGTCCCTATACAGGCACAACATGTGATGAAAATTCTGAGAAATTATTTTTATTTCATTTAAGATGTATATTTGATTTGTATGTTGAAGGATGTAGTTTTCAACAGGTTGAAAGGATGGATAGAATGGGCACAGAGGTGGGGTTTTGTGGGTTTTGGGGGTTTTTTTTACATTATGATGTGTTTGTTTTTATTTTCAGAGGGGAGGTTTATATGGAAACAGTTACTATAGTGATTCATTTTTTTACTCAAATGAAGTTGTCATGAAAAACATTAATGAAAAATGTGATTGGAAAGTTAGTTCAAGTTTCATCCTAAAAGACATTAGATACCATATATATGAATCTGTGCTTTGTGGAGAGCCCTAGAAGGTTAGGCCGAGAAGTGACATATTTTAATAAGTTTATTTTAGGCTTTCCACTTTCAGAGGGAGGAGAGGCTGGGAGAGCTTTACAATATGTATGTGTGTCTGTGACATGTGTAGGGGGCTGGCCTAGTAGGAAAATAAAGGCTCACGTTTGAGGGTGACAGTAGACATGGAAAAATGGGAATGAATAGGAGCAACATGGTACTGGTTGAATTTCTAGCACCTGTCAGCTGGGTTAATGTTGTGGTTGGGAAGAACAGAGGCAAAAGTTGATTCCAGGATTTTAATCAGAAAACAGTGGTATTATTTCCACAAGTAGGAAGGTTAATAAAATTTATTAAATTTTCACTGAGCCCAAACTCAGTGTAGTCTGTAATTTTTTTTTTTCTAAGTGCTACTCTCACAGAATGTGAAATGCGGATGGAGAGAATGAGGAAGATATTTTACAAAAGGTACAATCATGCAGGTGAAATAAGATCTATACATATGAAATCTGTATAACCATCATTAAATGCCATGTGTTGCATAAAAAAGATAAATATTGGATGAGTGATAGGGGCATCTTTATTTTTTTATTTTTTATTTATTTATTTATTTTTTGGTAGGGGCAGCTTTAAAAATGCATTAGAGATTTGAAGTAGCTCCTAAAGGATCAGTAAGAGAAATGGCGGGGGGAAAAAAAGATAATCTTTCTTTCCCTCTATTTCAGGCTGGCTTACAGTTGGACCAACTCTTACAAATAGCAACTATAATGCAGAAACATACGCATCCTACTTTAGTGCTCCTAATTCCTACTTGACTGGATGTACAGAAGAAATTGAGAGACTCCGACCAAAATCCCCTCCTCCCAAATCCAAGTCTGATCGGGGAGGCGGAGCTCCCAGGGGCGGAGGAAGAGGTGGAACTTCAGCGGGCCGCGGCCGAGAAAGGAATCGCTCTAACTTCCGAGGCGAAAGAGGTGGCTTTAGGGGCGGCCGTGGAGGCGCACACAGAGGCGGCTTTCCACCTCGGTAACTCTTTAAGACACTGACCTGCTAATGCCCTTTATACCTTCTTCACTGTAGTTTGAATTCCACTTGGGGGACTTTGTTTGGTACTCAATTCCAGCTTGCGCTTTGCTTTAAGTTCTCGAAGCTGCAGGAATATCTTAGCCAGTCTCCCTCCTAGTTGTTACACACATTGTGTAGTTTTATGCCAGAAAAACAGATCATCCTGCCTTTGGTCATGTGCATGTAACTTGACAATGAAACAAATACCTTCCTTTCAGAGACTAATTTATTCTGGTAGATTCCAACTAATTACAGAGGCTTTTGCTTTTTAGAAATAGTTTAAGTGAACAGTGAAAAAGCCCCAATCTGTAGTGTCGTACTCGTGCCAGGAGCAGTTGATAATAGGCATCCTGCCACTGCTGTCATAGCACATGGAAGGCTCTTCGGGAGCCTTGATGGAATGGAGTTGGGACAGATGGTTAACTTCTGTCACAGCTTTAACATTTTCTCGATGAAACAATAAAAAGAGACTTTTTTTTTCTTTTTAAAGAATCTTATGCTCAGATACAATTTGACTACTACTGAGAAATTGAGAGCATTTGAACAAAATCACCTCCTCCCAAATCTAAATCTGATAGGGGAGGTTGGCGCTCCCAGCGGTGGGGAGAGGAAGAGTTGTAGAATTTAGTAGGCAGACTTAAAAAGAGAGAAAAAGCTCATCATAATTTCAGTTGCATAGCTACAGATGACTGTGAATCACACTTCTTAAGAAGCAAAGGAAGACAAATATCCAAGTGCTAGAACTTTGATATAGACTTGAACCTGGATTGACCTTCAAAGCAGCTTTATACTCCTTAGGAAAGTAAAAGAAATGCAACAACAGAGAGACCTGGTTGTCAGTTATTTTGGAGAATAAAGTATTTGGTGATGAGGAAATGACATCTTTAAACTTGTTATGGAGAAAACAGTATAAAAACCAATTACAGAAAACCCTCAACTTAAGACAGCTTAGAAAATGGAACTGCAGTTGCCTTTTATTAAGACCGTATGGTGTGTTGTTTTTAAGAGTGTGGTTTTGCAGATAGATTGGTTGTATAAAACTTTCTGCTGTCATTTCTCTTTCTCTACTGTAACTCATGTTATAAATGAATTTAATGAATGAAATACCATTATTGTTCTTGAAAAATATATTTTTTATTTTGTGTACGATTTTTCTAATGAAACTTTAAACCTTTGAAATGTGGGAGTCTGTTTTCTCTAAGTGGAATTCCCTTTGTTACCAAATGAAAAAGGACTGACTTAAGATCAGACTTTTGTTTTGGTCTGTGATGCATTTTAGTAGCCATTCTCAGCTTTTCATTGGCTTCTGTTATACCTAAAGTAAGGTTATATTGTATGCACTAAAGACTCAGTTTGAAGATAAGGGCTGCATTGTAGAAATAGGGTTGAGATCCTTAAAAGCCTGATGAATTTAAGTTGCTCAACCTGTTGGTACTTTGTAGTACAAATAGCATTTGACTAATGCCTTTCTTGATGTAGATATGTAGATACGAATCACAGCTGGTTAGAATTTTTACAGAAATGATCCTGTATTTGCAACTTCAGTAATTATAAAGTATCTAGAGATAGAACTGTATTTGTCAAAGTTGACATGAGAATAAAGAAGATAGATGTTCTAATTGCCCAGTGTGGGTCTTTAGAAATACCAGTTAGAAGTGACCCCGTCCTATAAACGAGACTGTCTAGTGTGGTCCACACCCTTGGCCTAGCCAAGGGAAGGCAACATTCTTAGTGCTTACCTGGCCTACTTACCTGTGAGATGTATATCATCATGTCATCTTACAGAGAGTTACGAATGGCTTCTTCGTAGGTTGAAAGTTAAATATGCCCACCATATTTTTTTTTTTTTTTAAAGATTTTATTTATTTATTTGAGAGAGAGCACATGAGAGGGGGGAGGGTCAGAGGGAGAAGCAGACTCCCTGCCGAGCAGGGAGCCCGATGCGGGACTCGATCCCGGGACTCCAGGATCATGACCTGAGCCAAAGGCAGTCGCTCAACCAACTGAGCCACCCAGGCGCCCTATGCCCACCATATTTATAATACAGCAAATAAGGAAGGAGGTGGTGGGGAAAATGCAAGGCCTAGAATTCTCTCTTTGACAATGTAATGTGGAATTTTTATAGCACAGGATGGCATTGACTCACTAGTTTTGCTACCCTTCACTTTCTTTTTTTTTTAAAGATTTTATTTATTTATTTGACAGAGAGAGAGACAGCGAGAGAGGGAACACAAGCAGGGGGAGTGGGAGAGGGAGAAGCAGGCTTCCCACCAAGCAGGGAGCCGGACATGGGGCTCGATCCCAGGACCCCGGGATCATGACCTGAGCCAAAGGCAGATGCTTAACGACTGAGCCACCCAGGCGCCCCAGCTACCCTTCACTTTCAATAAAGGTTGGGGTATCATTTTTATGACAGAATCTTTATTCATTGAGGAAACGTTTCCAGTGAAAACTCACTAATCTGACCTCTTCTGGCTTGTGATCATCTTTATATTTATTTACTTGTCTTACATTTTCAAAAAATTATCTAGGAATTACCCCAAATAAGTTAATTTATAGTTGCTTCACTTAACAGATTCCTTATTGGGGATAGAAGCTAATAATTGTGAAATAACCTTACATTTTTCAGTTTAAAAGTTCTAAGATCAGCATATCTGTTGTACATAATTACAATCCCAAGTATTCCAGCCCAAATATTGATGTTTATTTTCACTGGTAACAGTTCTCCCTGTTACTTAGTTCCCTTCAAAGGATGGAGATGAGGAGGCCTGAAGTACCACAGTTCTTTTGTGGAGGAGTTGATGATGTCATCTAGAACAGATTTTGTGGCGGGGAATATCATACCCAAACACTACTGAACCAGATGAGACCAAGGGATTATGGAGATGTCAGTCCAAGGGTAGAACGGTCACCGGGAAACAGCACAGTGTGAGAGGTGTCAAACCGGGAAGCAGGGATCAAGCGTGGAGGAGAGTCTGGTTATGGCGGCCAGGTCACATGTCCAAAGTTGGACTGGGTCCGCACCGCTGCAGCAGCATGGACTCTCCTGATGCTCAGGTCAGTCAGCGGGCCACCTGTGAGTCCTCAGCCCATAAATCTGGAAACTTAAACTACGTGTCTGTCTCTGTCCTAAAGCTGAGCAAGTGTCATGCCATAGTCTGATTTTAAGTTGATGGAGTTTTCATGGCAGGATGCCTGCATGTTAGTGTGCCATCCAAAGCTGAGATCCTGTGTCGTGGCTGTTCCTAGGAATGATTCCTTTTTACGTCTTCCAGAATACTCCCTACTCATTGTAATTGCTAAATCACAACTTTCAGATTAGTTTCAGCAGCTTATTTTAAAACCTGTACCGCTTTCATCCTGAATTTAACTACGTAAGATTTGGTCTTTGAAGTTTAGTTCCAGATTTTTTCTGATTTGTTTAATCTTTATTCCCTTGACAGAATTATGGCCCCATGGGACTCATTCTAAATAGTAGTTTTTGATCTAAAAGTGTCTTATATTTTTGTGAGCTGTTAAAAACAAACTTTTGCTTATAAGAAGGGCCTTTCTTAGAACGATCCTATGATCTTGGGGTCCATGTAGGATTTTTAAAAAAGCATTATCCTGTCTTTGATATTTGGTGATAGTTTAGCTTGCGTCTCAAGTATATGTAGTCAGTCAGTTCCAAAGCTGTAAATCTAGGACTTCCCAGCCATGGAAGACTCCCTTTCTGGAAGAGCCACAGTGTTCCTGTTCGCAAGGCCTCTATCCTTTACTCAGATACAAACACTGCTAGCTGTAGTGCACAGAGAAAACTACCTCATTTAATCTAGATAATTCTTTTCCAGCAAACCCTCTTTCCAGGATTAGACAAAATGTTGAAATGATCAGTTTGTGTATGTTACACTTCTTGTCTTTATGTCTGGAGGTGCTAATAGTGAAATTGGATAAGGTAGGTGTTTTCCAAAAATAATTCTAAATAATGGAGACTCTAGAGGTCAACAATATAAAACGCATACAGGAATCAAGCATATAATATAAACTGGTGAAGCAAGCCATGAGTCTGTTTTATAGTGGAGTGATTATCTTTTTTGACATTCTTCGGTTGCATATTAAACGTGGGAATATTTCATTTATCTCATCTGTTTTCCCAGTTTAATGGGTTTTTTCAAGCCCTAAGAAAGGCAGAGTAGCACAGAGCACTTTAATAAACAGCCACTGACTTGATCACGGGCCCATGGAGACTAGAGAGAAAGGTAGGGGGACAGGAGAGCTCACCCCCAGGGTAAGGTGGACATCACTACTCCGCTCCACCTCGTTGTCACCACACAGGGAAGACGGTAAGTCTGAGCTATCCATGTGAAATCTCCCAGATTTTTAGATGCTGGCAAATAAATTTGTGTCCTTTGCTACATTTCCTTTTGTTAAAATTAGTTTGGTTAGCTAAATCCTGCATGCATATTTTAAATTCTGGTCTCTAACCACCAGTGACTAGATCTATTAAAAGACGGGGAAAAAAACGTTACTCAATTGGAACAGGAAGCCATCAGCTTTGGAAGCATGTGATGTAGTCGATGTCCTTCGGAACATTCATAAAAGATTGCAGATGTGGACTAATACTTTAAAGTGGCATACAGTGACGCGACTGCACGCTATTTGTTTGTCCAGTGGAGAAAATGTAGAGGTCTAGGCCTGTGTTGTCAAAAAACACACCTATTATAGAATCCCATACCTGTACGAGTTTTTAGTTTACAGTTACAGTTGTTAAGATCATAAAAGAGTAACTACATTATTGTTTTGTCTTTTTTAAATTTTATTGTTATGTTAATCACCATACATTACATCATTAGTTTTTGATGTAGTGTTCCATGATTCATTGTTTGCGTATAACACCCAGTGCTCCATGCAGAACGTGCCCTCTTTAATACCCATCACCAGGCTAACCCATCCCCCCACCACCCTCCCCTCTAGAACTCTCAGTTTGTTTCTCAGTGTTTTGTCTTCTTAAAGCAGAGGACAAAAAATCAGTTTTGTTCAGAGATAGCCAGTTTAGTAGTTTATGCTGGTTAAGTTACTGGTTAAGTTAAATACTAAGGTAATTGCCTAAATGTCTTATGGAATTTGCTGTCATTTTATGGGTTTATGCTTCTCAAGACAACTTCTGGGTAGACACATACTTTAATATTTAGTAAAGGAGAGGTTTTTAATGTAATAATATTGGTCATAATTCATAAAAACTACACAGGTGGATGGATTATTTGGCCTTGTCCAAAAAGGTGGGCTTCTGTGCATGGTAAATAGGAGCTCCAGATCATAGTTTACTTTTCTACTGTTATGTCTTACTGAAAAAAAATTTTTAAGCATATAGTAGTACTCCCTTATCCATGGGGTATACGTCCCAAGACTTCAGTGGATGCCTGAAACCAGGGATAGTACCAAACCCTATATATACTAAGTTTTTTCCTATACATACATTCCTGTGATAAAGTTCAGTTTATAAATTAGGCATACTAAGAAATGAACAAAAGTAATAGAACAATTATGACAATATACGGTAATAAAAGTTATGTGAACGAGGTCTTTCTCAAAATACCTTACCGAACTATACTCACCCTTCTCGTGATGATGTGAGATGTTAAAATGCCTATGTGATGAGATGAAGTGGGGTGAGTGATAGAGGTGTTGTGATGTAATGTTAGGCTACTACTGACCTGACAATATGTCAGAGGAGGATCATCTGCTTCGGGACCATGACTGACCTCAAGTAACTGAAACCATGGAAAGCAAAACCACAGATAAGGGGGGAATACAGGATCATCATAATTAAGAATATCATGTCTATAAAAATAATTCCAAAGCAAAACTTAAGCGAATATAAGGACAAATGTAAGTTTATCAGCCAGCTAAGTTCCTGAATCTTAAATCCCATCTCCTCTGTGAGATGAGGCTAACAAGATACTGGATCAAGATGGCATTAGAACCTCTTTGGAGAATATTCCCACTTCTGATTGCTTTCACTTGTCCCAAATCAAGTGCAGAGTTGCCAGAGGTACCTGCCTTTGTCTACTCATTTAGTCCTGACTTACAACCCTGCTGCTTGTGCTCTCAGAAAGTAGTCTTTGTCATTTATAAAAAGGCAGCAATGTGCTTTCTCAGCTTCTAATGTATGGCACATAGTAGGTGCCTAATAAATAGTCCCCTACTCCTTTGCTTGCTTAGTAATTGGAAGTAAGGCCCAGAGGATTTTTAATATCCTTCTCTTTCCACTTCTTTCCCCTCCTGCTAGTGCTTTCTTGGCTACGTAAGAGGACTGTGTTTCTCTAATAAGGATTTTTTTTTTCCCTCTCGAGAACATTATTTTTGAGGCTGAGGCAACAAAGTAATTTCCACTGCCTTACCACTTATAAGATTTATAGAATGAATTTTCTCTCATCTGACTTTAAAGACACCTGATTCTATCCTCAGGTTATAAATTTTCTTTCTACCAAAGGTAACCCATAAAGTAAGGAAAACGGTTTAACTACATCTATATCATCTTGTTAATGACAGCTTAAGTGAAAAGACTACATCCTTCCTATAAGTAAGAATGGACCTAAGAATAGGTTGCTTGAGAGAGGACAGGATAGTTGAGGATTGGCTCAGGGGGGCACTCAGGGCACTCAGGAGTTTTCAGACACTGCTGCTGACCACTAACACTGCCTCAGGGAGAGAGGGCCTCACTCGGAAATAGCTGAGTGGCTAGGGAAGTATGGGCCTTGACGCTAGTCATCAGTGTGAGCCAAAGATAGTAGAGCTTCCCTGCCAGTCCTGTGAAATAGACATTCACGTTCAATTAGGTTGATTTTTAAAACGTGACTTTTTTTTTTTTTTGCACACTAGAGGTTATTGCTGTAAATTCATACCTGCTAAATCTGCTTTGCCCTAATTCATAATGTAAGCCTTTTTTCCAAATAGGCAATACTGGGCCCTTAAAACAACATTAATTGGGTAACAATCTAAACCCCATGGTATATCCTAAAACAGTATTTTTCAAACATGAATAATACATATTTAAAGAAAGTTTTTCATGGACTCGAGAAATACCTCTTTGAAAAATAGGGACTTAAGAAACTAGTCTTACATAAAATATCTTAAAATTGAAAATCCTTATTGCAAGAGTTTTAGATGACAGGTAACAATTTTTTAATGTTATCAAAAAAAGTACACCCTGATTTTGCACAACTCATGTACTCTTGAGACCACCTGTAGTCACTATTGTAATGATTATTTCCTTAACTAGTCATTTTGCTTTTGCTTTATGTGAGTTAAAACTGGATTTTCAGGGGCGCCTGGATGGCTCAGTCCATTAAGCATCTGCCTTTGGCTCAGGTCATGATCTCAGGGTCCTGGGATCGATTCCTGTGTTGGGCTCCCTGCTCAGAGGGGAGTCTCCTCCTCCCTCTCCTTCTGCCCCTCCACCCTGCCCGTGCCCTCTGTCTCTCTCAAATAAATAAAATCTTAAAAACAAACAAACTGGATTTTCATGGGGGCACCTGGGTGGCTCAGTCCATTAAGTGTCTGCCTTTGGCTCAGGTCATGATTTCAGGGTCCTGGGATCGAGTCCCGCATCGGGCTCCCTGCTCAGCGGGGAGTCTGCTTCTCCCTCTGTCTGCCACTCCCCCTGCTCGTGTTCTCTCTCTCGCTCTCAAATAAATAAAATCTTACAAAAACCCCTGGATTTTCATGTATTAATTTTGGGTAACAGTGGCTCTGGAAATCCTGTTTACAAGGACATGCTTTGGGAATTGGAAGGGTTTGGCCTGGAAGGGACCCACAATAGGAATATGTGGTAGCTTTAAACTCTGAAAACTGCTATCAAGTGAAGAAGACTTCACCTATGGCCTCAAAAGAGAGAACCTGGCACCAAAAGGAAACATTTCAGGAAAACAATGTGCTACATACAATTTTCTCACAAATAGAACTGTTCATAGTGGCTGCTTAGGGCAGGAGTAAGCTTCTTATCTGTGTCTCAAGAAGAGGCCAAGAAATACCCATAAGAGATGATGACTAAGGGATTTTTATTGCCTTTTTCCACTGAGATTTTTTTCTTTATCCAATTGAGTCAGGATTACACCTGTGTTTCCAGCAATTAAAATTTACAAAGTCAATTCTCCCCCAAAAATTGCCTTTTCTGAAAGATTATTGACCAACCTTTCTGAAAGGTTTCAGACACTTTAGTGTATAATGCCTCCTAGTGGAGCTGAAGTTCAATTTCATACACCTTTGCATATTCCAAAACACGAGCTAAAAATTTGATCCGTACTCTTATTTTATTAATAAACATGCTCCCATCTGAATATTAAAAAGATA